GGGGGGGGGGCGTTGGGCCCGTTGGGCCCCAGCAACAGAGAGGAGTGGCCAGGGCTCCGGCCGCTCCAACAACTCCCTGCCGCTCACAACTGATCCAGGAGGAGCGGCGGTCACCTTCCGCTCGCCGTGAAGGGCGCCGGGCGGCGCCGGGGCGTGCTGGCCGAGCCAGAGCTGCGCGGGGGCATGAACGTCACCCCTAACACCCAGGGGAGAGGGGAGAGGCGGGGGAGCCGGGAGAGTTCCGTTTCCTGGACAAGCTGTTCCCGCTGCGCGCCGCGCCGGCCTCCTCCGGGTGCTCCGCAGGCGCGCAGTGCCTTCCGCCGGCTCCGCGGCAAGGTCCCCGACGTCCCGCACTCACTATGCTCAGTATCCGCTTGCGAATGTGTCGGGGGGGGGGGAGGGGTATGAGCAAGCGGGTCCACCACTACTCCAACGACGCTGACCTCGGAGGGGGCGTGGTTGGGTCAGTCACCTTCATTGAGCAGTGCCCTACATTCTACATTACACATGTACTGGTGTAAGTAACAACAATTATAGGCATTTTAGATTATTTTCGTATTTTGGAATAGACGCGCTGGACAAAGACGAAATGCGGCTAGGCATTGGTGTGCGGGAGTGCGGCGGTCAGCAAGCAAGCCTCCGGCATGAGTAGAGCCCCCGCAGAAGCAGTGCCGCCAACGTCGACACTGACCTCTATTCGCATACAGTCGGTGCAACCCGCGAGAGTGGGCTGGGCGGCGCAACCGCCACCAAGCTTTGCAAAGCCACGCAGGGACGACACTTTTCGCCATGTAAGTATTTTTCATTCGTTCTACTTTCATTACCCCCCCCCTCCCCCTCTTTTCTCTTTCCTTTTTGCTTTTTTCAAAATTCCGCGCGGTCTCCAAGCTAAACACTCTAGCGCCGTGTCGGTCAGCAAACAGCGCGGTGGCCCCGCCTGTCGCTTCTTGTGAAGTTCGACAATGTCAGGTCGGCACAATCGATCCCCGACCGGGGCCTACATCGTGTCACGGTCTCCCCGCCCCGCCCCGCCCCGCCCCAGCCTGCGGTCCAGCCAGCGCAGGTCGAGTCCAGCCCAGCGGCGGTGGCAGCAGCCGCGACAGGGACTGTCACAACCCCGGGCCAAATCGCCGGCCGACATCTCGATCCCAATCTGTCGCGGTTCGCCCGCGGGGCCCGGGCGGGCGGGCGGCTGCGTGGCCACGCGGTGGCCACGGCGGCCAGGTGCCCCGCGGGGCTCCGCACCGCCGCGAAAGAAGAGCGCCCCGCGTTTACGCACACTTCTCCAACATCATTCAAAATTATTCAAATTTAGGGCTAAAAAAACGGCGAGCGCATGTCGTTTCAAAGCTGTTCGCACATGACGCCATGGCGACGGCGCGGTTCTCTCATGGGGTGGTGTGCTTTATTCTCGAGGCTGGTCAGGCCCAGGTAAGTGGAGTATTCGCCGGGCGGACGCCGCCGCCGGTTGGTGTGCGCGGGAGGCGCGCGGGTCGGTCACCATAGCAACAGGCTGCAGTACGGCATACGGTGGATTAATTAATCAAGGTCGGAGACGTCGTGGCGAAGCGGGCCGGGCCGGGCGGTGGCGCTGCGCCGTGCGCGTTGCGTGCGCCCGGGGGACGTGGTGCAAGACCGGCGGCGTGGTGCACAAGCAGGGCCTCCAGCAGGAGCAGCGGTGGCGGAGCGCGGCCAAGGCCGAACAATAACGACTTAGAATATAGATCCCGCTAAGCAGAAGGCAAAATCAGATTTAAAAAGACGAAAAAAAAACGTGGGAAAATAGTCGTGGTGTGATAATGAAAATTGTTGTGCAGGTGGGCGTTGCTTGTGTGGAGCCGCGGTGGCGCGGTGGAGATCAAGGCCCCCGCCTTCCCTGACCCGACCCCGCGCTATCAGAGCGACCCGCACCTGACGTCGAACCGCGCGACGCGTCAGACGGGACAGCGTGGCGTGGCGTGGCGTGGCGTAGTGTGGCGTGGCGTGGCGTGGCGTGGCGTGGCGTGGCGTGGCGTGGCGTGGCGTGGCGTGGCGTGGCGTGGCGTGGCGTGGCGTAGTGTG